AAGAATTAGGGTTGAGAAGATTCGAATTCAGAGTTGCCGCGAACTGAAAAAAGACGAAGATTCGTGAAATTTTGATTGAATCCGGCGGGGAAACAGCGAAAAATGTTCGTCGTTCAATTTTTCCTTTTGAATTTTGTTTTGGTTAAAGATTCCATTTTTAGGTTAACGCCCAGTGTCCCGCCCTTTTTTCAAATAATGGCGGGTCAGGTTTTACTTATTATATATTTTATTACTTTATAAATATATATTATTTTTAATATTCATAAACCCTACATAATTCTTAAAAATAAACAACAAACCATTTATAATACTAGAATTTTTATCGATACCTGGATTATAAGTTCGGTATTTTAACTTTTTTTTAAAATGTGTATAGAGATTGAATTGGATTAAGTTTCTCGTTTCATCGACTTAAAACTTTAGATTGGTTGGGTCCATGATTAGATTAAACTTCCTTGAAAAATCTTGTTGTTCGATCTAAAATTTTGGATTGGTTGGGTCGATGACCTAAACAATCTAAATAAAGTTTATAATTTAACTCCTGTTCTTATAATCTAACTCTCACTCTATCCAATCCTCTATTTTTTTTTTTCTTTTGGAATAAATGAAAAGATATCCTTAAGAATAAATGGAAATATACTTATAGAGATATTTGCCTTACAATAAAATATCAAATATAATATATATAGTAAACTATAAATTATAGTTCAATTAACAATTTTTACGATAAAAACATGAACACGTATCATTTTAGTAATATATCGAATATAAAACCAATAAAGATATCAATTAGCTTTCATTTAAGATAAAATATACATATTCTTTCATTAATATTTCGAGAATATTAGATACCAGTCATGAGATTTTAGACTTTCCCCATGAATTGAACTAATACTGTGTTATATTTGCATCTGCTATTACTTTAGTTCATTTAATCTGAAATTAATTCAGCAAAAGATAAAAGACCAAAGCATTTTATGTTAAAAAAAAAAAAAAAAAAATCTATTTTTAATAGCAAACATGTAAAAGACTAAAAAAGTTGCAATGTTTTTATTCATTCCATAACAAACTTAAACCTAATAAGAGTTGGATCATGGAAAGATAGCAAATACCCTCTAAAGAATTGGCAGAAATTAAGAAATTGCCCTGGAGAGCTCTTCCAATGTCTAAATTTTACTGAATCAGAAAGATTGAATACCTGGCGCATAAATTATAGAAGACATCACCTTCATCTAATCTTTGCTTTGTCTCCAAATCCCAGCAAGAACGCTGCCAAAGATTGAGTGACAAACACTGGAAACAGCACAGGGTACCGCCGTCAGAGGGTTTCCAAAGTGCTGGGTAGCAAGAACAACACCTAGCACTGAGTTCTGTAACATAAATCGACTCATTAGAACCATCTCCAGCCACCAATGGCGAAACCGATGAGTTGCAAGGTAAAATAGTCGGGATCAGACTTGCCAAAGAGTGAAGCTAAGATAGGGTATAGGTAAATGAAATGATTTACCTGCATTCCGACTTCAATGGAGATTGTCCGAGAAGACGAAGTGTCGATACCGAGCATTCTTGCGAGCACGTAACCGAAGAAGAATCCTGACATGTGAAGAAGAGATGCAGCCAGCAGAACTTGCATTCCAGACGTGAGAATAGCAGAAGAGCTCTGAGCAATTGCATTTCCACATAAAACAGCTACTGTACCAACAGCAATAGGGGGCATCAATGGAGAGACGAATCGAACCAAGCCATGGAAATACTGGTTTAAAAATGCTCCAGCTAGTACAGGAAGAAGCACAATCTGTGATGGAAAGGGAAGTTAATAATGTAGTTATTACATGAAAAAAGAAAATATGGGTATCTCGATCAAATGCTAGAAAGGCAACCTGTAGTGTGGATCTTAATAACCCAGCTGCATCCACAGCAACAAATTGACCAGCAAGTTTAGCAGTGAGAAATGGGGTCATGATCTGTAAAACATTGAAATGATAACTTACTCTACAAAATCTATGAAACTATCTGCTTAAATTCCTTAAAGGTTGAACTCTGAAGAAACTAGAAACAGATCAGATGCTAGATCATAAATTTATAGTTCATGTAAGAAATTTGCAGTATATCTGACGTAGCTCGTTTGCTTGCATTTTCTACAAACAGAGATATTAGGATCTGTTTTAATTATAAAAGAACTATATAAAAATGAAGACAGCTCTTGCTCTAACTCGAACTTGAATGAAACGCAGCTTGTATCGATATGAATTTAGAAACAAAACGCCCAAACGAAGAAGCAAAAGCATTATGTAGATTAGCAAACCAAAGCTGCCACAGTGCTCATCGCTGTCATCAGCAGCACAGTGGCAACTATTATGTTCATGTAAGAAATTTGCAGTGTATCTAAGGGAGCTCGTTTGCTTGCATTTTCTACAAACAGCGATATTAGGATATGTTCTAATTATGAAAGAACTATATAAAAATGAAGACAGCTCTTGCTCTAACTCGAACTTGAACGAAACACAGCTTGTATCGATATGAATTTAGAAACAAAACGCCCAAAAAAAGAAGCAAAAGCATTATGTAGATTAGCTAGCCACAGTGCTCACGCTGTCATCAGCACTGTGGCAACTATTATGTTCATGTAAGAAATTTGCAGTGAATCTAAGGGAGCTCGTTTGCTTGCATTTCTACAAACAGAGATATTAGAATATGTTTTAATTATAAAAGAACTATATAAAAATGAAGACAGCTCTTGCTCTAACTCGAACTTGAATGCAACGCAGCTTGTATCGATATGAATTTAGAAACAAAACGCCTAAACGAAAACAGCAAAAGAATTATGTAGGTTAGCTAACCACGGCTGCCACGGTGCTCATCGCTGTCATCAGCACAGAAAGAGCAACATTTCCCCTGAAAAGGCAACAAAGTTTTTCTTAAACCAAATCAGGAAGTTAAACGATGGCATATCAAAAATTAGAATACCGTGCAATGTAGGTGACGATATTGCTTGCTGTTCCTGAAACCAAAGATGGATAAAACTATTAAAATAGGGATAATGAGAAAGATTATTGACACTACCAACAGATGCATACCACCAGGACAGCAGCCAACCAATATTAAACCAGCTGCATAGTAAGATGGCAGATTTAACAGCTTGCTGACAACATAGCCTGATATTGGCATCACCTGCAGCAGGAACCATGAAAATCTATCTAGTAGAGTTTCGTTCATCGATCAAAGTTCGTCGAACTACTAAAGAAACTGAAATTGAAATCCTCATGCCCTCACTATTCTTAGTAACTGTTTCCTTCAATACAGAGGAGAGAGAGGAACTGAAGTGCATGACTACCAACTCAGAAAAGTTCTTCGAATGATAATGAAACGCTCTTTAACTCACAGTCAATATAATTCAAAGTCATAGAAAACAATTCCATAAAAGAGATGACGAATCATTGGTTCATGTAGTTTAAAGTAGAAAATCTTCATCGCTCAGATAATTCAACATCAGGAGGCATTGCCAACTTCGGAAATTGTTAGTTTATATAATCCATACACGAGATGTTCCACGAGATCAACGAAATCAGTAATTTTCAAATTCATTCAAACAACAGTGTAATAACAGAAAATCAGCGAACTAACCGAATACTGTAGCAAGAATCCAGAAATCAATTCCTTAGGCATAGCAAGAGCACCACGAAGATCATCAAGAGTCAATGTCATGCCCATACCAAGCATTGTGACGGTAAGACCAAGAACAGTCCATCTCGGTTGAACCCAATCGTAGGAAGCCGGTCTGAGCAGCCCTAGTAAACACCCCAACGCCACCCAAACAGGAAACGCAGTGGACAAAGCTTCACCGATCAATTCTATCCACTGCATCAAACTCCGCTCGCTCTGGACGCCATTCGTGTCCGATGAAGATCCACACCGAAGAGGAGGAACCAGCAATCCAACATCAATCCGTTTCGTTTTGGAGCACAGAAGCGGATTCCGATTCCAAACAGAAATCCGTTGGTTGGAAATCTGTAGCGAAGCATTGCGGTGAAACGTAGCCGCAGAAGCAGAGGAAAAACGGTTGTTGAAAGTAGAAGAAGTGAGAAGTGAAGTGCGCGGGCTGAAGCTGGAAAGGGAACGTTGAGGTGGTTGAATATGGGGACGAAGACCGTAAGTATCTAATGGAAGAGACCGCATTCCGTACTCTCTGAGTGAGGAACAATCGGAATGAAGAAGAGAAAGCAGCAATGAAGTGGAGGTCTGTAATTCCGGCGCCGGTGGAGCAGCAGTGAGCGTCGACCTTGAACCGCGCCAAAAGCATAGTGAGTTGGTTAATATAATATTGAGTGGTGGTGAGAGTCCAGTCTCACGTGAAACAGACATTTAATATTCATAAAATACTTCATTTCTCATTCAAATTTAATACATACTTCTATTCACCCATGATTATTTGCAATAAAATAAAAATATATATTTTTTAAAAAAAAAATACTCATAAATGTAAAAAAATAATAATAATAATAACATTCCGATTAAAAAAATACTCCTAAACTTTTAAAAATAATAAATAACGTGATCTTTTAAAAAATACCCTAAATCATCCAGAAAAATTACTATAATTCGAGAAAAAAATAAGATTATTGACTCGAAAGACCGATTCCCTAAATGCTACTATTCACAAAATGTGAGAAACAGATGAATAATCATCTATGAATTTATTTAATTAAGAAATAAAAAAAGAGAAGAAAAATTCTTTTATTTGTTACCATTTCCAAATATATATTTTGAATATAAGAAATTTAAATAAATAAACAATATTATTTTCCACATTATACCTAAATTTCATAAAAATACATTAGAAACTAAAAACTAGAATTCTTGCCTCCAGTGAACTTTCAATTTGGTGTTGAATTCAGGCAACTTCAGAAGCCTACCATTTTCACAAATGAAGGGAGGGAATTCTGTCAAACAGAAACAACAGGGCCAACGCCAACGCATGTTCCAAAAGCCATCTCCTTTCATGTCCATGTAGATGAGCAGCAGCAGCAGCTGTTAACAACATTATCCAGGAAGCCCCATTTGAAGAGCTATCATCCAACTTTGCTTCCTATGATGGGTGGGAATAAATTGTTAATTGTTCAAGCTGTTGCAACGATTTCAGATCTCGAAGAACTTCGAATTCAGCTTCCACCGACCTATATACAAAAAGAAATGTCAGACAACAGTTTTAATTCAGCTTCCAATACAGGGAGCTCCATGACAAACACCACAATGCAGAAGCTCCTCTTCCTACAATCCAGATTTTGTTCTTTCATGATCTCTGCCAACAAGAAAAATAATTCTTTGTTCTACAAAAGTACAACCAACAATGGCATCTCATTTCTATGTTGCTTTCATTCTTAATCCCTGTCCTCGAACAACCTTGCAAGCTTTTCCAGTATGAAACTATAGTATAGGAAATTGGTGGCAGCACACTGACAGACAACACGGTGTAAGCTTCTTCCGTTGATTTCTCAACTTCTGTACTTTCTGTTCCTCCCAACAGAAAGTTGATAAGTTTCTACAATCGTCTCTAGTGACCCTTTGGGAGGAGCTCTGTATTATGATCCCTGATTTTTGCATACACCTTTACAGTAGGTATTGGTAACAAACATGAATTTTGGAAGGATTCTAGGTTTTGTTTGCAGCTTCAACTTCATTCTTTAGCCTTATACTGAAACCTCACAAAGTAATATGTTATTTGCTAGCAGGAAGGAGCTACATCCCATGACTTTCAATTTTGAAGGCCCCTCCTGGATCAAGAGATCGAAGAGCTATCCCCCCTTAATCCTTTCAATCTTCACTTCAGTTAGTTTCTCTTTCTCCAAAACAAAGATCATAGTCTATTGATTGTTCAAATAGACTACACCTCCAGACTCCTCACTGCACCACTTTTTTCCTCGTCTATGTGGAAGTCAACCAAACGAAGATTCCATTTTTTGCTTGGATTAGGGCCTAGAACTTTAGATGTTATATCCACTCGAGTTCTAATTCCAAACTGGTGTATTTTGTATGGCTGCAGTGAGAGGCAAAGGATCTTCATCATGCTTTGTTTCTCTCTACCACCCCTCACGCAGGCAAGTCGAAACCATACTCTACGAACCAGCTCCAAACAGAACAAGCAACATCACAAATTGGAGAATATGATCAAGATTCTCATAGGCCATCGATCATCCTAATCATGCTTTGTTGGTGTTTCCTTCCATTCTCTTCTTAAATTTCGAGTCATTCAAGGTAGAATTTTGGACTAACAATTGTCTAAAGGTCTGTGGAAGTTGTTCAACATCCTTCTTTTCCAGGAAAGACCATGAGCTATGGCAGGGTAGCTTCATTGCCATTCTACCGTTTACTTGGCTAAAAAGGAATAGTAATTGAAAATAAAAACTGGGTGCCCATAACTGTAAGTTTTTGTGTTCCCTGTTTTCGTGTTTGGTCTTATAAGTCGGCCTTTAGAATTCTTTGACTACTCATCGGAGATTGAGATAGTAATATTAATAAAATAATAAACTGATATTAAAAAGTAACGGCAATAAAGTTGCATTTCTCATGGCATATTATATAAAAAAATGTATATATTTAAAAAGAAACGAAATGTCGATGCAAAGAACCAGATAGGAAACAATTGAAGAAAGCTTAAATAGATGCACCCACCTTAGTACAATCTGAAACTAGCTCATAGCCATAAATGAAGCAGATCACCGAGGGCCTACAAACCTGCAAATGAAACATGCAAGTGCAAATTTACATTAGAAAACATTAGAAGAAACAGACAAAAGCAAATCATACCAAACATCATTATAGACCTTCCAATAAAATTGAACATAAAATTACCGAAGTGCTCAAACATACTTATAAACTTAGATGAGAAAATGAATGCTGATAATTCACAATGTCGTTGAGACTGCATCTCTAATAAGTTAAAAGCTACTAGTTTTCTTTTTCAGATAATATAGATTGTGTTGATGGGAAAAAGATGGAAAAGTGGTGGTAAGGGGAGGATTGGATATCCTCCAAAAGCCTGAAAGCTAAGAAATTTACAAAAGGATAAGTAAGGAGCTATAAGCTAAGTTCAATACAAAGCTCCCCATCAGTATTTCAGCCACAATAAACACAAAACTACAGCCAATATCTTTTGCTATAACATTCATAAATGTGATCATATTGCAGAGGACGGAATAATATGTGGAAAAAAAATATTAAATTCATGAAACAGCATCAGCCTTTCAACAAAAGGGTCATAGAAATAGCTGCTTCAAATATCACTAATTACAAAGCTGGGGAAAAATTGTATTCATAGCCCAAAGAGAACAATGCAGAAACTGCATTTGAAATTCTCGACAAGTTTCCAAGAGAGTAAAAAGTTGTAAAGGATGCCAAGTAAGCACCATCTTTATGCTTCCTAACCAATAATAAGACACTTCTTCCACCTTGAAGCTGCTATAATCTGAAACTTAAGGTTGGCCTAAGAAGAACCATATAACTAGGATACTCCTACTTCAACCATTCCAATTATAAACTAGTTGGTCACTTGCATGACATATAAATAAAATTTTAATATCCATAAACCATTCATTCTACATATTCTAGCAACAACGTTGTTCAGGATAGGAATAGAGTTCTCACTAAACTTAAACATCTCATGTCTAGTCAAATTATAATCAATATAATCAACATTGAAATCATTTCATGTAAACTCATCTGAAACTATTGTACATAAGACCCCAAATAAACCTACAATCTCACAACCGATTAACAGGGAGATGGAAAGAGAGAAGAAAGATGCACATAGCATTCCTCAATCATGGGTACGGAGATTCTACCAAAGGCGGCAAAGCGAGAGTGCCACCAGGCAACAGATTTGGATAACGAAAACAGATCTATAGATGTCTACAAGGGCAAGGAAAAGGGAAGGGACTGGGATAACAGGTGATCACTTTTTTTCAGAGAAAAAAGATAAACACTTACTTGACTGAAAGTCATCATGTGGCTCCATTGTTGAACTGTCTTGGCAATGACCAGCCATTTCACGCAATAAATTAGCTTCTCTCAATTCTTTGCTGTAATTCTCTAGGGCAGATGAGAAACATAAAGAGTTCCTTACATTTCTGTTTTTTTTTTTTTTTTTTTTTTTTTTTTTTTTTTTTTTTTTTTTTTTTTTTTTTTTTTTTTT